TCCGCTGGCTGACCTTCTTGCTCACTGACTTAGGTGAGCGGCCTAGCTCTGCCCCGGTCCTGTTCGCTGACAACAGGGCCATGATCCTCCTGTGTCAGGAGCCTCGACTCGAGGGCAGAGCGAAGCACATTCAGCTGCGGTACTTCCTCCTGCGTGAGCTACAGCAGCGACGTCAGGCTCGCGTAGTACACTTGGCCTCAGGTGCCAACACGGCTGATATCTTTACGAAGGCGCTTGCGCCTAAAGATCATCAGCGGCACTGTGTACAGCTTGGTCTAGTTCCTGTAGCCTCTCACTTGCTAGGACCTTGACTTTGTACTGTCCTTTATATGTATACTCAGACTGGACTTGTGTCCTCTCCCAGTGGCTGGACTAGTAGTGCCGCCCTGCTCTTTGCTTGCCTTGTCTGTACTCCTTCTGACTGGTCGCTCAGACCCTTGTCTCAGAGGTTGGACTAGTAGTGCCGCCCTGAGCTGTTTGTTTAGGACTTTCCCCTATGCAGTCTAGGGGGTGTGTCAAACATGTCTATTTGTTATGTTTGTATAGACTGTATAGGGTAGCCTCTTAGAGGGTACAACACTTAGCTATATGTGTGTACTCTCCCTCTATCACTATCATTCAATTTTCTGATAGGGCGCTAAACCAATGAGGCGTGAAAATTAAAATGTAGTGCGTGTGCGCTAATTTGTTTCGAGCATGACAAGACCTGTGGACTCGTAATTCGGCGGAAAATTTTTCCGGTAAATACATTTGTTGAAAAAATCAAAAGACAACCGGCAGACTTCTAATAGATTTGTTGTATTGAAATAAATACAGAATTAAATTCGGTTTTGAGAGTACCTTGAAGTGTTTTTAAACATATTCATTTCCCCAAAACAAACCTCTGTAGCTATTTATATATGCTTTTGTTTTCGGACAACTCGAGAATGACAAGTTTATGGCTTGACTTTTTTTTTGGGCCGCAAATGCGGTAGAGACAAAGCCGCATTTTTTTATCATCACGGGACGCGCTACACTCTGGGACAAAATTATGTGCTTCGAAACAAAATCGTGTTTTCGTGTTTCTCGACAAACAAATGTCCAACGAATTTTGATTAGGGCATTTTGCGTTTTTTTCGCTCGAACTGCGCTTGGACCTCGGGAAAAATATCGCGCCAGCCACAATGGTGACGAAATCGGGCTGGCGCGGGTGGGAAAATGTCCGAAACGGGCGAGGGTTACTTCTACTGACCATTCGTGGAGCTTTTTTCCTGTAGTTTCTGACTAACGGTGGAACCCGACTGATAAAACATATTGCGAACTCGCTAATTCTGATTGTTTATATTGTATCACTGATCGTACATGTTATAGAGGCCCCTAATACTGAGCGCCGATGTATTTTCCCCAAATAGTATGTTTGATTACGGTGGAGTAGCTTTCCTTGCGTTTCAAAGCGTTTGAATAACAGACTAGAATGGTTGGATATGGTATTTTGCGAAAACGAACTTTTTGGACCTGCCCTAGTGATCAGCACGATTTCGGTCGGGAAGTCGCATTCTGGTTTTTACCGCGTACACCTCCCATTTTTTGTCTGGCGCAGAAGACCACACCACCACATGCTCGTGTCAACCAGCTCCCCAGCCCTTGCGCTCGGCGACAAGACCAATGATTCAAGGGTATTTTGTTAAATTATATAAATTATATATAATTGTAGGCTTGGTAGGTGTTATTGAAACCTACTATAGAGGGTACAATCCCCTCCTTGTATCCCTCTCTCTTCTAATCTCGATCTCTTTTCTCTCGTAACTTTTGGTCCCTTCCTAAACCCTCGCGCCTACTTTCATGGCCGCCTAGCTATTCTAGTTCTAACATGGTACCAGAGCAGGTTGCCCCTTACGGGCCTGCTCCTCGCGCTTCCGCCGCGTACTCGCTCTTCTTTCGTCCCTTCCGTGTCGCCGTGGCGGCTGTGCCGAGCTGCCATGGCGGCTTCGTGGTGCTGCCGTCGCAGCCCCGACGCGCTGCCGTGCCGAGCTGCCACGCCGTGGCTACGTCGTCGTGCTGCCGTAGCAGCGTCGACGTGCCGCCACGACATCGACGCCGCGCTGTGGTGGCGTCGTCATGCTTTTGTGGTGGCGTCGATGGGCGGCAGCGGGCCGCACGTCGTTTTAGGCGCCGCCAGCTTGCCCGCACATCAGCCAGCACCGTGTAAGCCACAGCGCCTTGCTGTCGCAACGCCACCTCCCCCACCACCCCTAGTTGCAGCCGCAGATGCTGCGTTCCCGGTCGTCGCGGGCCCGTGCATGCTGCGGGCGTCGCGAGTTTCGCCGTCACCGCAGCCGCCACCGTCGCTGCCGCCGTCGTCAACACTGCCGCCGCCACCGCCGTGCCGCCATCCGCGCCGTTGCCGCTGCCCGTCGTCGACCGCGCCGCCACCGCGCCGCTGACGCCGTTGCTGCCCTCGCCGGGGGTGGCACCACCTCGTACGAGGGATAGCAGCCTCTCCTGTTGCAGGACATGGGGAGGGGTGCACGGGCTTGGGGGTGTTGGGTGTTGGGTGGGCTTGAGACTACCAAGCTAGGGGGTGTGTTAAATTATATAGGTTATCTATAATTGTAGGCTTGGTAGGTGTTGTTGAAACCTACTGTAGAGGGTACAACCCCCTCCTTGTATCCCTCTCTCTTCTAATCTCGATCTCTTTTCTCTCGTAACTTTTGGTCCCTTCCTAAACCCTCACGCCTACTTTCATGGCCGCCTAGCTAGTCTAGTTCTAGCATATTTCACCCTGATTACCTTGCCAGTGGCCACTTTTTGGAGTTAACCCTGATTTTGTAAAAGTAATAAAGTGTTTTGGGGCCGAATCGGCCCCAAGCACCCTTTCAAATCAGGGTGAAATCATTATGCTTCCCTGATGCCACAGGGTGCCCTTAAACCAATCTCGGGCCTTGCTCGGCGAGTTCATGTGTCGATCCGAGATCCAAGGTTCAAATTCCCAGCCGCTGGGAGCAGGTCCCAAAATAGTCGGGTGAAATGCGCTGATTGCCCTGATTTTTTTGTGTATTTTTTACGGTACTCAAAAAAATCTGACTCTGATTTTTTTTTTACTCTGATTGGAAAAGAGTGCGCTTTTTTCTACCCGTTCAAAAAGCCGTGTTGCGGATCTGCTACCCTGACGCAACAGGGTCCGCTGGAAAAGACCCTGATACACTGTCCCTCAGGGTCCGGATTCGTGCGAGATTTCCACCAGATGAGTACAGCCACGTCCCGTGCCAGTCGCACTTTCGTGACCTCTTTCCGGCTCTCATCGCACATGCGCTAGGGAATATTCCACCGCATAACAATGTGCGCTGGCTGCGCGGCGCTCACCAATTGGTGCCTTTGGCAGCAATCCTGCTTTGCTGCCACCATCCCTCACCCACGTTGCCTCTCCCTCCCCCTTTTTCTGGGTGGCAGTCGTATGTGGTTGCTACTGCAGCATGCAGCCACCTTTTACGCTCAGAGCCGAAGCTCCCTCTGAGCGGTCCGCGTCGGCTGCTTGACTGCACGTCGATCGAACCTCTCGAGGTCGATGTGCTTCCTGCACTAATGTCTCCTTGCTCAAAGCTCCCCAAACTTCTCCCTCCATCCATTATGTCTCGTCTCTTCCAGCGATACCTTCCAGCCTTTCCTTCCTCTTCTTATGGAGGGCATTGTCGATGATCAGTCAGAGGAACCCCCTCCTAGAAACGGCCTTAGCGTTCTTGGGGTATTCCCCCTCCTGCCCCCTAGAGTGGCTCGATCCCCGCAGTCTAGTCCTTCCCATGCCCATCGCTCTACCGCTCCGCCTGTCCAGTATCCTTTCGAGCCGATCTCCTCTCGCTTCGAGTCGCATGCCAAGCACATCGCACCTCGACCTCGATTTAGAGCATGGAGAGGGCACCTCGTCCGCCGCGGATCGCACTCCGTCATATTGTTACGCCGCGCCGCCAAGCGGAAGGCTAGCGTCATGTGGACCCAACGGCATCTTCCCTGGGCACCGCCGCCAATGAGGCTTGCAGTTCCGTCGTCTCCGCCTGTTCAGCCGAACCCATCGCTCGAGACCCTGCCCCCTGCTGACGCCGAGTGTGAGATTATAAAGAGGCGGTTTGTTGATGATTGGTCCCGCCGCTTTCCCTGGCTGCGTCTTACTTGCTTGAAAAACGGTCGTCCCTCCTTGAAGTGCGCAATTTGCTTGAAGTACGGGGACCCGTTCTCCAATACGAACTATGGGAAGAAGGGTTTAGGCGCCTGCGATCTCCAAGTCTGCAGTATCCGCATCCATTTGGGGACCCACGCGCACAAGAAGGCGTTAAAGGCTCAGGCGGACCGAGAGATGGAGATGGCCCAGCAGAAGATGCTGGAACGATTTCGGGATTCTGACGCGTCCACGAAGCACCTAATCCGCTGCCTCCATATTGCCATGTCCGTCTGCAAGGCCGACGCCCCGATTGCCCTCTATGTCGCCCTCTGTTTCTTTCTGGCTGCAGAAGGTTTGCCGGATTTTCCCCAAGGTGGGGCGTATGGGACCTACTACATAGAGTGAGTACAATATCTACTGCCCGCCCTGTAAGACATGTGTGTTGTTGCTCCGGACGTCCACTTGATGTCCTCTGTGTAAGTGCGTCTGTTGTATAGGTGTTCCCTCTTAGTACATCACACCATGGCCTTACTCTATCTCGATGTGCCTCTCCCCCGCCCATCCTACACTTACGGTTTCAAGCAGATGACGAAGGCCATCTCTGGCTACCTGCGTGAGGAACAGCTGAGGCACATAAATCTTCACCATTTCTTGGCATTGCAATCGATGAGAGTACGGATTGAGTTCATGGGAAGCATCTTATTCTCTATGCTACCTTCTTCCATGGAAGCGCTGTCGTCACCGAATTCGTTACTCTGCTGACTGTCGAGCGGACGGATGCGGCCTCATTGACAGCAGTCCTTCTCCAGTTTCTTCAATCGGTCGGCATTGACCTTCAACGCATCGTCGGCATGTCGACGGACGGGGCGTCCGTGATGATGGGTGCACAAACGAGAGTGGTGACGAGGATCAGGTAGCGGATTGAGCATTTGGCATCCTTCCATTGCATCGCTCACAGGTAAGTCGCGAGACATGCTTGCTGGAAGGTTTGCCTTATTTATATTACCCCCACTTATGATTTGCCTTTCTCCCCTCTCTCTGTCACTCCCGCCCTAAGTGTTCAGGGAGGCCTTAGCGGCCAAGGACACCGCCAAAAGCGTCACAGAGATGAACATCATCGACGTGCTCATTCGGGCCTTTGCGGACCTCGTTGGTCACAGCAATATCGTTCACCACCCTTCAAGAACTTCTGGCTCGTGTACTACTTAACGAATTTGGAAGCCCAGGGCATCAACGCCATTCGCTGGCTGGCGCATGGGGAAGCTGTCTCTCGCTTTGTGGAGATTCTTCCTGTTGTTGCCTTTCTGCTCCGCGAGCATCCGGGGGGGTGGTATGAAGTGGTCACATCCTTAAAGGTGTAGTTTATGCTGTTATTCCTTGCCGATATTCTCGCGGAGATGAACCACTTCATCATGCGCTTCCAGCAGCGACAGGTGAGCATTCCGCTAACACATATGCATGGGATTTAACGGAGTATTGCTTGTCGTGTTAATCTGCGACTAGTCTGCGACTGTTCACATACTTATTTCATACGCATTTGCTTGGTACCCTCCCTTTCCCTATATGTTGAAGGTCGACCTCACAGTGGTGGCATCGCTTGTTGAGAACACTTGCAACCGCATCACGGACCGCTACATCAAGTGCGGCAGCGGCCTCTTCTTTGGCAATGGTGGCAGCGAGAGGCTGTGTGAGTTCCTGGTGATGCATGGATCCCCGGACAAGCGAACCGTGCGCATCAAAGGCGTGGATTCGAAAGGCAACGCACATGCCTTCGAATACGTGTTGCATGAGAGGATGATCGACGGCCACACAACACGGAGCGACCTTGATTCTTGCGGTGTCGTGTGCCGGAAGTTCGCTATAGACAGCGTTGGCAAATTCGCGGTCGATTCAGGGACCTGGTGAACGTGGATGGATCCCGCCTCTTTGACCAAGTCCTACCCCCTGGACGATGAGGTTCGGCTGGCTCGTTGCAAGAAGCACCTAAAGCAGATGGACGACCTGTTCGGCAACAGCTGCCTGGTGAGACTGCGCCATATATGTTTTCCAGCTTGCCTTGTGAATAACCAGCGTGATTCCAACCATTGCAATAACAAGTAGTGCTACATTGCACTTACAAGACTCCACCCCCCCCCCCCATTTGATTGCTTTGCATGAGAAGGCTTTGACTATAACGCGGCTCTGCGGGAGACTCCACCCCCCCCTAGATTTTCACCGCGACGATGATGTCCCAGCACAAGGACGATGATTTCCAGCGAGCCCTCACCCTCACGCTTAACAACAATGACTGGCAGAGGAGCTATTCCAACATTCTTCGACTCTGGCAAGCTGTTGCCGTGCTCCGCTCAGCCCTGTGGAGTGTGAGCGGGGATTTTCAAGAAAAACTTGATTAAGACCTGGGGTCGTGGGAGCATTGGTGATGATTGTCTAGGGGATCGTATGCGCTGCTCTTTCTTCAGTATCCCATGGACTGGTTCAATGTGGTCGCTGTTTCACGGGGCGAAGTCCCGGCGCCCTCTCCAGGATTTTGAGCTCGGCTAATCCCACCCGTGTTGAGCCAGCTGATGTCACAAGTGAGCCATTCCACTGGTAGAGTCCACTGCTGTTGGAGATGTCTAGAGTAGAGTAATCAATAGAGAAGTGTAAGCAATAGAGTTCGCTAGGCAGTGGCACTAGAGCTGGTTGATGGAGGCTCATGTCGTAGCATCTAGGATATATTTTAATGCCCGCAGGCAGCTGCTAGACCATTGTACTAATCCGTGACATATAATCTAATGTAATAGGCTTGCTTGCTTCGCCTTTGTTGATGCCAACAGGGTGTGAATCTATCTACCCAGAGATTGTCCGAGCGGTTTTTTTAACCCTTGCAAATCAGGCTTGGAGAGAAATTTACTCTGGCTGACAGGGTAGTTTTTTTTTTCCACCCTGATTCCTAGGAGTGGCCTAAAACCAATTTTGGGCCCTAGCTGGGAGTGTCATTTTTAGACTAAATATCAACTCCTACCCAAGGCCCGAAATTGGTTTAAGGCCACTCTTAGAAATCAGAGTTGGAAAAAAAAATTACCCTGACGGTCAGAGATAAAGAGAATCTTAGTCTGATTTGACAGGGTAATTTTTTTCGAAAGACTTTGCTTTAAGTGTAGAACTTCTTGCACCCTTTCTAGCTGTGAGAGTACGACCCTGTTCCATTCCTTTCTCCTTTCCATTTCATTCCTCGTTCCATCTTGATCCATTTGGTTTTTATCTCATTCCATTTGGATTCCTATTTCTCCTTTTCCATAAACCTTTGGTTTATCCTGTTATCATCATTATATCACCGACCAGGCTCGGATGTACTGGTGCGCTCTATCTAGCGTAATCCTGCCGTAATCACTTAAAGCAAATAGCCTCGCATGGTTATACGCAGGGTGATTCTATTTTCTAGAAGAGTCTATTCCCTTGGGATAAGATAAACCTGGTTACCTGATGTACTTTGGAAGTATAAAAGCGCCTTGTACTGATCGATAGTGCAACCTTTCCTCGACACATTCGATCCTGTGACACTTGGTAATAAGAGCTTTTCTCACTCTGCTGCGCTCAGCTAAGCAGCAGCAGCGGGGGATCCTGCCTCGAAAAACCGCCGGGGGCGACCAATTCGACGCCGATTCTGGTAAGCACCAGCTCCGCGCTTTTTCGAATTACCCCCCCCCCCCCCCCCCCCCCCCCGCGCGTGTTTTGAACAGGATGGCAAACTTCGACAACACCGAGGTTACCCAGCAGCTCTTCGCGCGCATCGCAGCCCTACATGAGGAGATGCGAGCCGATCGCGAAGCTTGGCGAAACGAGTTCGAGCGAGTAACTCGACTCGCCGGAGCGCAACAAGAAACGACAGCGGCGACGACGCAGCAGTCGCAGCAGTTTCTCGAGGCTCTGAAACCGCGCCCACCTGAGCCGTTCGATCCGAGCGATCGAAACTCCGACGTCCGCAGATGGATCGCCGGCAAGGAGATCTACTTCGCAGCCGTCGGATGGAGCTCGCCAGCCTGGGACGGTCAACGCGTACGACTCGCGGCGACACTGATGCGAGGGCCGGCACTCGAGTGGATCGGCGGTAACAACACCTTCATCCACGGCGAAGCCACGTGGCAGCAGTTCCGCACCGACCTGCTGAAACGTTTCGAGCCGATAAATTCGGGTTTCCTTGCCCGCGAAAAAATTCATCGCCATCGACAGTTCGGGAGTGTAGCGCAGTACACGCAGCAGATGGAGGAATTTTATAACCGCATTCCCGACCTGGCCGAAGGGAAAAAAGTACAATCGTACCTCGCTGGGCTGAAGACCGAAGTCAAACGACAAGTGGCAGCGACAAACTATGCGAGCTACAGTGACGTCGTATCGGCCGCAGAACGCTTCGACATGGTCAACGACAGGACACGACGGACGCACGTTGGCAGTACACGACAGGGCAACCGCTCGGCTCACACCACGTTCGCCGACCCGATGGAAGTCGACAGGTTCGAAGGGCGGCCACGTCTGAAAAACACCAACTACACGTGTGATTTCTGCGGGGTGCAGGGTCATCGAATCTTCGACTGCAACAAAATGAAAACCGCACGCGCTGAGTATCGGGCACGCAACAGTGGCGGAAATCCTTCGGCCAATCAGAAGCCAAAAAACAGGACTCGCCAGTGATTGCGGATCTAGCATACGAAAAAGAAAAGATCCGAAAGCGGCCGCGGACTTCCGGAAAAATCAACTCCGACGCAGCTGATTCGACGCGAACAGGAGAAAATGATGGGGAAAAATCTCCACCCCACGACCAATCTTTGCCAGAGGAAATCGCCGAGGAAAAATATAACTCCGCGAAAAAGGACTCTGCCAAGACAGGGAAACCCCTTGAAGACCCAAGAAATTATAAGGATTCGTTAAAGTTATCTTACAAAGATGCTTTAATGAAAACTTGTAATTCTCGAGGGGCTAGAGCCTTGGAGAAATTTCTGGAGGGACTCCAAGAAGAAGCATGAAATTGTGGAGATCGTACCGGTACCGGGACCAAATTAAGGAGTGTGGAAAGAAGCCGACCTTTCAACGGAGTCAACGTCCTCTCCCGACACCAGCCCACATCGACTACCCGTTCCCCAGGGAAGACATCGGTGGAGCTGAAGCAGCTCAAAAGGAAGCTGCGGGTCTAGAAGAAGCTGCAAAAACCCCGAATTCCTTCTTCTTCGGATGCATCCGACTCGGCAACTTCGTCAACGACACGAATAGTCGTCATGGAAACTCCGGGCCCAGGAGAAGATCCTTTCTCCAAGCAGCCTCGGCCAGCTGCCAGCTCAGGAGTAGGAAGCAACGAATATTGGGATGTACCCTAGGACCCAATCAATGAAACTATCTTTGGGTACTCCAAGCAACGCCTGCCCCTCGTGCTCGAGGTCATCTGCAAAGGACGATGCCTCCAAGCACTCGTGGACAGCAGAGCATCACACATTGTATGCGACAAGGCAACCATCGATCGACTTCGAGAAGAGTACAAGCCATCAGCGTTTTCTGTAACGATGGTGGACGGCAGCAAGTTACCAGTATACGGCTAAGCAGTGCTACACCTACAAATCGGTCCACTGCACTGGAAACCTGCTCTCCCCATCACCAACATAAAAGGGCTTGACTTGATCTTCGGGCGAGACTTCCTCAAGAAATTCATCCCCGAGATCAACTGGGTAAACTGCACCGCAAGCATCTACAACAAAGGAAGGAGAGTCTGGTTACCCAACTGGACGATACAGAGAATATCCCAGTGGAGACACTCGCCAGATTCGAGAAGGACGTGAAGCGAACCGCCACCGGGTTCCTGGCGATAGCAACAGAGGTGGAGAATGACGGAGAGAAAGCCTCCGAAACTCCAGAAAAAAACAAGGACTTACTGAAGGAGTTCCAAGACATTCTTCCCGACGACCTCCCGGACGAACTACCGCCATACCGAACGCACCAACACGAGATCGTGGAGGAACCAGGTTCGAAACCAACCTTCCGAGCACCATATCGGCTAAGCCCCACAGAACTAGCCGACATGAAGAAGCAGATTGAGTATCTCCTCGCCAAAGGACTCATCCGACCATCCACTTTGCCATACGGTGCCCCAGTACTCTTCACACCAAAACCGGACGGAAGCCTACGCATGTGCATCTACTACCGAGCTCTCAACAAGCAGACCATCAAGAACAAATATCCGATACCACGAATCCATGACCTGCTTGACCAGCTTCGGGGAGCTACGGTATTTTCAAAACTAGATCTACGGTCCGGATACTGGCAGATAAGAATGGCGGACGATTCCGTTCACAAAATTGCCTTCCGAACTCGGTACGGATCGTACGAGTATTTGGTCATGCCGTTCGGACTCACCAACGCATCTGCAACTTTCCAAGCAGAGAAGAAACATATCCTACGCCCACTCTTGGACGAATGCGTGGTGGTGTACCTGGACGACATCCTCATCTACTCGCGCGACATGCAAGAACACGTCGAGCGCCAACGACGCGTCTTTGAAATTCTTCGACGAGAATGCTTCTACGTCAAACTATCCAAGAGTGACTTCGCCCTCGAGAAGGTCCAATTCCTCGGACATATCGTAAGCGCTCAAGGAGTTCACGTCGACCCCAAGAAAATCGAAGCCCTGCGTACGTGGAAGACACCCGAGAACGTGAAGGAGTTACAGCAGTTCCTTGGCTTTGCCAACTACTACAGCAGTTCCTTGGCTTTGCAATACGCGAAGATCGCCGCGCCACTCACAAATCTGCTAAAGAAGAACACGCCCTATAAATGGGAGCTACAATACCAGGAAGCCGTGGAACAGCTGAAACAAGCACTCACGTCCGCACCCGTACTCATCTTGCCAGACCCCGAACGCGACTACGTCATCGAAGCTGACGCCAGCGACCAGACAGTGGGAGCAGTCTTGATGCAAGACCAGGGGAATGGCCTGCAACCAATTGCCTACCTCAGCAAAAAATTACATGGAGCAGAACTCAACTACCCGATACACGACAAGGAGGCCCTTGCTATCATCATCGCCTTCAAACATGGAGATGTTATCTAGAAGGACGCAAGACGACAGTCTACACCGACCATTGCAGCCTAAAATATTTGAAGACGCAACCAAGCCTCTCCAGGCGACAGGTCCGGTGGATTGACTTCCTCGAGACACACTTCCACTTCGACATCGTGTACAAGCCCGGCCACAAAAATCAAAGCAGACGCGCTTAGCCGGCCTGCACACGTTGCCGCTATCCAAGTTGAAGGGATGGATCCACTCCTCAAGGGACTCTTCATACACGGGTATACCATCGACCCAGAAATTCCCTTAACAGAAAAGCGACATCTGCTACAGTGGGACAGCGACATCGCGTACCGGAAAGGATCAACGAAGATCTGGGTACCTAATTACCCTCCATTGCGCCAGTTACTACTCGAAGAATACCACGACGTCCTGTACGCGGGACACTTTGGTAGCAACAAGACGCTCACCGGTATCGCCAAACACTACTACTGGCCCCACATGGCAGATAACATACAGAATTTCGTCACCTCGTGCACTACATGTCAGCGGATGAAGAGCAGCAAGCAGAAAAAGGCGGGTCTGCTACAACCTCTTCCTATCCCAGAACAGCCATGGCAAGTGGTCAGCCTGGACTTCATCACCAGGCTACCAACTACCACAAGCGGTTATGACGCGATCCTCGTCGTCATTGACAAGTTCTCCAAAATGGGGCACTTCATCCCGACACACACCACAGCACGCACCGAGGAGACAGCACAACTCTTTGTTCACTACATCATCTCCCAACATGGCATTCCAACCACACTCATCTCCGACCGAGACCCTAAGTTCACCAGTAAATTCTGGAAAGAACTGATGTCTCTACTCGGGACCAAACTCGCCATGTCATCCGCCTACCATCCGCAGACAGATGGACAGACCGAGCGCCTCAACCAAATTGTGGAGAAACTCCTCTGCGCAGCCTGCAAGGACAACATCTCCAAATGGAACTTGCATCTGCCCATCCTGGAGTTTGCCTACAACAATGCTACTCACGCCGCTACTGGACAGACGCCGTTCTTCCTCTGTTACGGACGCCACCCACTCACACCTCAACAGCCAACCATACCAGCCACAGTCCAACCCGCTCATGATTTCATCACGACCATGCACAAACTTTAAGATCGGACCCACAAGCGCCTTCTCGACATCCAGCAACAACAAAAGCGCCATGCCGATCGCCACCGCACAGACCACACCATCACCGTGGGAGACCGAGTACTACTCGACACACGCAATCTTGACATCAGCCATCTCCCATCCAAATTGCGACCTCGCTTCTGCGGGCCTTTTCTCGTTGAAGCACAGGTCACTCCTGTTACCTTCCGCTTACGCCTGCCAGCTACCTGGAAGATTCACAACGCCTTCCATGTCCAACTCTTGAAGCCCTACCGAGATCCCAACACGGTCCTCTCTGGATGCCAACCGCCGCCGCCGCCGCCCGTCCTCGTCCATGATGAACCCAAGTACGAGGTCGAGTCCGTGCTTGCTCACCGCCGTCAACGGAATGGCACCGTAGAGCTTCTCATCTGTTGGAACGGTTATGATCCTTCAGAAGATAGTTAGGTCTCTGAATCCAAGATGGATCACGCTCGTCGTCCTCTTCGCGACTACCTTGTCAAGCAGGGTGTTACGTCTACCACCCAGCTTTGAGGGGGGGAAGTATGAGAGTACGACCCCGTTCCATTCCTTTCTCCTTTCCATTTCATTCCTCATTCCATCTTGATCCATTTGGTTTTAATCTCATTCCATTTGGATTCCTATTTCTCCTGTTCCATAAACCTTTGGTTTATACTGTTATCATCATTATATCACCGACCAGGCTCGAGATGTACTGGTGCGCTATATCTAGTGTAATCCTTCCGTAATCCCTTAGAGCCAATAGCCTCGCGTGGCTATACGCAGGGTGATTTTATTTTCTAGAAGAGTCTATTCCCTTGGGATAAGATAAACCTGGTTACCTGATGTACTTTGGAAGTATAAAAGCGCCTTGTACTGATCGATAGTGCAACCTTTCCTTGACACATTCGATCCTGTGACACTAGCCTTGGCCGTTTAAGGAGCATTTGACAAGAATGAAGTAGGCAGCACTGAGGTGTGGAAAGAAGTGTATTCTGTAGCGGATTTGCGCGTGCGGGGCGAGATTGGGGGATGGGACGGAAAACAATTCTGGTGCGCGAGAGGGGAATCAGATTTACAAGGGCGACAGAGGGGGAATAAAAAAACCACCTGCTCGGGATTGGTTGGGTAACGGAAGGGCGTATGCGACGTGGCGTGTCTTGCTGTAGTGTAGAGGACTTAGCGGGAAAAACAAAAAACAAAAAACAAAAAAAAAGGTACGCATGAAGTCCTTTTCAGGTCCTTTTTTTTTTTCGGGCGGGTGCTCCAAAGTCGAGCGCCTAGCTTTCACGAGCGAATTGGGCCAATATAGGGTAGTCTGGTTACCTCGTAGGCATTTTTCAGTCTAAAGCAGATGACCATTGTTGTTTGTTTTGCGTTCCTCCCGCAACAGTGTAAGGTTTGAGAACGTCCCATCTACACGTTTGGAGGTCTCCGTATCAGATACGGTAACTGTTGCAGATCTTTGGGCCTGTGTCGATTGAGCCGTTGCCCCTACGTTTAGACCAATGGGCCTGTAAATAGACATGTGGCATCTTATGAATGGGCGATTCTCTCAAAGTTCCTAGTTTAGCAAAGTAATCAAGCTCTAGTACATCTTATACCCAACTTGAGTATAAGGTGCATTATCAGGCCACAAGCTTGTAGGAAGACTCTCCTCTTCAACACTTAACCTTACGGCACCTTCACTCTTCAAGTACAAGGCCCTCTCCTTCAACCACATCCAAGATTGTGGTCCCCTCTCAAGCTTGTTGTCTTCTCCCAAGCTCAAGACCCTTTCGCGAGTGCGAGTCCTCCTCTATCAAGAACCACTCCCAAGATTCTACATCTCCTCTACTTTGTAAGAAACGCATAAGTAAGTCTCTCACTCTTCTTCACAAGCATCTCACCCTCGACAAGTCCCATTTTACTCACTTGAGTACCTTTCCTCTATTTCTTTACTAGCATATTATAATCCAATTTATATGTGCTATAGTTCTACTATTGCACTCTTAACATATTCAACCATACAATCATACTTGTTTGTCTTTATCTAAATTCTTATCTGGTGTCAGAGTCTGTATTATTCTCATTTCTTGCTTCCGCAAAGCTCATTATATATATATAAAGAAAGGGGGGGGGGGGGGGGCATAAAAGGCTCTGCACTCACCCCCCTCCTTCTCCATGCCTCCCACATTCACGTAAGACAATCAAAAGCACACCACTTCACAAGAGGAATCTAGCTCTTCTGAAGAGAGCGGCGCCAAGACAAGAGGAGGTGATACCACATCAACTCCGTCTCATCCTAATCCCCCCTATATCCACATGTCTACTCCTTCCCCTCTTATTCCCAAGCTAGAAGTGCCACAGTTCAATGGAAGGACTTCCAAGCATAGAGTATCCATTTCCAATTGGCCGCCACTCTCCTAGAGTGGTGGCTTGTTCATTATAGTTCTCTTTCTCCTCCTTCATCTGAAGTCCCTCAAACAGATCAGTATGCATGGGTAAAGTAGAATGCCGAAGCCTACCTCTACCTTTTCAACTCAGTTCAAGACCAGTACGCCAAGTCGCTATTGCCATGCACCAGTCATCGCGACAGTGCGAAGCGTGCGTGGGAAAGGCTAAAAAGACTCCATCAACTACGCACCGAGAGCACCAAGACAAAAATGTGGGGGAAAATCTCCAACTTGCGGATGGAGCAAAAGGAGACTATCCCCAAGTACTTGGAGCGCGCGGCGATCCGCCATTATCCCCACATCCATCCGTCAGTCACTGTTGCCAACATGGAGTCCACTTCCACTGCAGGCGAAGGACCACTCACCTTTCTCAACCCCGACGGCAAGCCTGTCTCCATCGCAGGTGTTCTCTTGGTCCCCAACCTTGGAGCCAACCTGTTGTTAGTGGGACAGGAGAAAGGTTGCACTGTTTCCTTCACTAGTGGTTCCATGCAGATTCGCACAGAGTCGGGATTCATCATTGCACATGGTGAGCGAGCGGGACGCCATTACCGCCTCCAGCTCGATGTGAACTCGGAGAACCGTCGCCTCCACGGCTACACTGCCGCTGCAGCCATTACCGTCAAGCCACATCTAGGTACGTCCACTACTCCCCAAATGTGGTATTATCGTCTAGGCCACCCAGGAGATTCAGCCATGAAGACCATCACAGCTCATGCAAGCCTGGAAGGCCTCAGCATCACCTCAAGTTCCCAGTCATCCTCATCCTCCTCGTCTCCTCGTCCCACCTGTTTTGAAGCAAAGCATGCATATCATCCTCATCCCCCCATCAATGTGCAAGTGTCAAGTCCCCTAGAGCTGGTCCATAGTGACATTGTTGGTCTAGCTCGCACAGGCAAGCGCTTCATCATGACACTCATTGATCATAAGACACGCTTTGCATGGGTCTTTCTTCTTGTCTCAAAAGACCAAGTCCCTGATGCATTCAAAGTCTGACAAGTCTACATTGAGAGGCAAACCGACTTCAAAGTCAAGGCCCTACATTCCGACCGAGAGGGGGAGTACATGGGTAAGTCATTCCAGTCTTATCTCTCATCCCTTGGCATTGGTCATAACCTTTCGTGTCCATATACCCCTCAGCAAATGGCATTGCTGAGAGGTTTAACCGCACCTTGCAAGAAATTGCAAGATCCCTTCTCCTCCATATGAAGCTAGGTGATGCATGGTGGGGAGACGCGGTGAACCATGCTGTTCACCTGACCAACCGCTGCCCTTCCAACAGGTATAACCCCGTATGAAGCATGGTATAGGGCAAAGCCCGACGTTACCATGTTAAGGGTGTTTGGGTGCATGGGGCATCGCATTCCTGATGAGAAGAGAGGAAAGTTTGAGAGTAAGATACGATGGGGGATGCAGCTTGGGGTGAGCATGGAAAGTAAGGGCTGGATGCTTTGGGATCCTCTCCTCTCCAAGGAGATTGTGCGCAGGGACGTGATCTTTCATGAAGACATGTCCCTTGCTCAATGGAAAGCAAAATTTCTCCCTCCTTCTACCTCTCCCGAAGATGTCTCCCCCACTCCAACAGAGCTTGTCCCAACAGCAGCGGTGAATCATGCATCTCGTGCATTAGACCCAATCACCGCAGCCGTCACCCCCAGAGTCAACACATGAGCAGTTATGAGCTCTAGTGGATTCATCTCCAAAACTAGTGTCTTCATCACCCGCTGAAAGTCTCCAGACATTCCCAGTTGCAGCAGATCCCCTTCCTCCCTCCGATCGTGTGGCGGGACCTGTTCTAGTGACAACACCAACTCCCGCCCCACCCAGCGTCCCAAGTGGCAACACGAGTCAGCAAGGAGTCAGTGAGAATGCAGAGCAGCCTAAGAGAGTGGGCAAGCCAGTACAGCATATGAACATCGCAGTTGGTGCAATCTTCCCTGTCACACCCAGGTGCACAAAGTCTCACTGCATGGAGTGCAAGGTAGCTGCCATATGTCATGCCATCAGCTGTCTCCCACCTGAGCCATCCACGCATAAGCAAGCAATGGCTGGTGCTCAGAGAAAGAAGTGGGTAAAGGCAGAGAGAGAGGAGATAGACAGTCTCCTTGCACAAGGCACATGGGTGAAGGTACTACTCCCCCCTGGTAAGAAAGCACTGAAGTTCAAGTGGACATATAGAGTGAAAGAGAAGGGAGATGGTACCCTTGACAGGTACAAGGCACGCTTGGTAGCAAAAGGTTTCTCACAGATTCCAGGTTCGGACTACAATGAGATGTTCTCAGTTGTGGCCAAGTACACCACACTCAGGTGCCTCTTGGTGATGGCCTTAGTGAAGGGTATTCATATCCATCAAATGGATGTGAAGAATGCCTTCTCGTATGGTAAGCTCGATGAAGAGATTTGCATGGAGCAGCCCGAGGCGATGGTACCAACAAGGTCTGTAAATTGCCCGAGTCTCTCTATGGGCTTAAGAAAGCACCACGAGTCTGGTTTCACACACTTGAGGTCGCACTCCTGTCCCAAGGTTTCACCAAGTCACTGTTCGACCCTGCATTGTACCTGCTACACACAAGTGAGGGGGAGTCATTCTGGCTCCTAGTCTATGTGGATGACATCCTCCTTGTATCAGCATCACTGAGTCTCCTCACACGCATCAAAGGTATGCTCACCCAAGACTTCATCATGAAAGACATGAGTGAGCCCTCCCACTACCTTGGTATGAACATTGTGAGAGATCGCCCATCCAATTCCCTCTTCATCTTGCAGCAGAGGTACACTGAGAAGGTTCTCTCAAGGTTTGGTCCATAGGAGGATACATCTTCATGCTTGGAGGAGCGGCCATCTCTCGGCCATTGAAGAAGTAGGGCTGTGTGGCACTATCATCTATAGAGGCAGAGTACATGGCTGTGACACACGGAGCCCAAGAGGAAGCGTGGATAAGAGGTCTCTTGAAGGAGCTTGACCTCTCACAGGAAAATCCTACTCCCCTCTTCATCGACAACACATCCGCAATCGCCCTCACCATGAATCTAGTTTTCCATGGGAGAACCAAGCACATCGGCACGCAGTACAACTACGTTTGGGAGCTAGTGGAGCAGAAAGTCGTCGAGCCTCTCTTCTGCCGCAAAAGTGAGCAAGCGGCAGACTTCCTCACCAAGGTGGTTTCTCGTGACACCTTCATCAACAACCGAGTTCAGGCAGGACTCGTTGCAGCAGCAAACATGATGTAGATTTGACACACCAACTCATGAAGCAGTTGAAGTAGTTGCAGCAGTACCGGTTAGAGGGTATGGGCTTGCAGTGAGGGGGGGTGTTCTGAGTGGCACGTGACGGGCGTGCCACATTTTTTCTCGCCACTCCAACCCCTTCCCCTCCAAAACCGCTCGTTACAATTCTTCACCGACCCCAACCCATTTCCCACCAACCAAACCTACTCTATCTACCAAATTTTCTTTCCAACCTTTCCAGTTCATCTCCTCCAACCTAAGGCCTTCCAACCACTCCTTAATTTTCCCCAACTGTCATAATCATTCCTAGTCCACCTCAACCAAGCTTCCAACAAATCCTCCTATTCATCTCCAACTCCCACCTCAAGGCACACGACTCTTCATCATTTTCCATGTGCTCTCTCTTCCTACTCATAAAAAACTCTCCAAGTCATCTACTCCAACCAATAATCCTCCTCACATGTGCCTCAAGCACATTCCTCCTTTTCCTACTCATCAACCTCTACATGCCCATAATTTATTCCCTCCTTCCTTCCTACGCCAAGTCATCCAAGTTGCCACATCATCACACAATAATCTTATGATTCCTTATATTCCTCACCTTCCAACTCAACAAAGCTTTCATTCCTCCTCCTTTCCTTCCTTTCCAACTCATCCAAGTTTTCTCCAACACTACATGGTCTACACCTCTAAGTCACCAAAGGCTCAACAACCATCACATGCTCCGCCACTATTCATCTTCACCAAGAATCATCTTCAAAGTCTCAAGAAGTTTCTCAAAGTCCAACAATGCATCTCCAAGCTCCTCTTCTTCAAGCTCCCCTTCAAGTCTTCTTCAAGCTCCTCAAGTTCACACCACTACAAAGGCTCTTTGCTAGCATTCATGTTCTATGTCTTTAGAGATGGTATTATCATGCTACCTATCTTCCTAGACTACTATGAGTGGTCTCTCTCTCATGCATGTCCTTGTATCCATCACGGATGATAAGGCTTGTACTACACCATCTTTCATATAAGTTTATGCTCTCAAAGTTCTCTCTCAAGGTTCCTAGTTTAGCGAAATAATCAAGCACTAGTACATCTTATACCCAACTTGAGTATAAGGTGCATTACCAAACCACAAGCTTGTAGGAAGACTCTCCTCCACTTCAACACTCAACCTTGTGGCACATTCACTCTTCAGGTACAAGGCCTTCTTCTTCAACCACATCCAAGTTTGTGGTCCCCTCTCAAGTTTTTGGTCTTCTCCCAAGCTCAAGACCCTTTCCCGAGTGCGAGTCCTCCTCTATCAAGAACCACTCCCAAGATTCTACATCTTCTCTACTTTGTAAGACACGCATAAGTAAGTCTCTCACTCTTCTTCACAAGCATCTCACCCTTGACAAGTCCCCTTTTACTCACTTGAGTACCTTTCCTCTATTTATTTTCTAGCACATTATAATCCCATTTATATGTGCAACAGTTCTACTGTTGCAGTCTTATCCTATTCAACCATACAATCATACTCGTTTGTCTTTATCTAAATTCTTATCACCTTGGGACTTCCGATATGAGCCTTATACTGCTGGCTCACCTCGAGACTATCCCAAAGGGTCAACTGAAGAATCTCACGGCTGGTCTCAGTTGTAGCTGATCAAGGTGAACTACTTCCACGATGACGAGGTTTCATTGTTAGTAGCTCTTCAGCGTAACTGACTAACGGTAAATGATTGCCAACTGCTCCGCAATCTCCCAGCAGGCTTCTGCAACCTTACAGTCCTTAAGAAACGTTGCTTCAAGAATTTGATGCAGTTAATGCTTCCGGAAGATATTGGGATGCTGAATTATCTCCAGAATATGCACCTGAGCTGCTGCTCCGAGCAGCACCAACTTCCTTCCTCGTTCACCCAACTGTCTTCCCTGACACGGCTTGAAATTGAGACCGGCTGTTTATAGAAGCTACGTGAGGGCATGGGGAACCTTAGCAACCTTCAGCAGCTGCACATCTTTTGGAGCTGGATCAGGGAGCTACCAGAATCCATTACGTGTCTCACCAAGCTAGAAGTCCTGACAGCCTCTTCTTGCTGGGAACTCACTTCAATACCGAGGAGGCAGGATAGACTAACAAGGCTCAAATGACTGCGGATAAGTGAATGTGAAAGGCTGACCGAGCCTCCTGAATTTCTGCCACCTTCTTTTGAGATCTTGAGCTGGGGGGGTCGGCGCCAAGTCACCCGTATGCCAGACATCTCCAATTTGTCAAGTCTTACGGGTCTATGCTTGAGTATTGTTGCTGCTTCTGGTCATGGGCTGATGGTTGGTAGAAGCTTGCCTCGATTGAAGCATTTGGAGCTGATGTTGGCCAAGAATGCCACGACGCTTCCCTTTGCCATGACCTCCCTGAATGAGCTGCGCACTTTGATTCTAGGTGCTGAGACGCTTAAGGAGCTCCCATAAAACATTGGATCGGCCTTCCCACAGATGCTAGAGTTTAGGATCTACGATGCTGAGGGGTTGAAGGAGCTGGTATTGTGGAGCTGGAGCACCTGACGTCCTTACATGTATCTAAGGCGCCCAAGCTAAATTCTCTTCCGGATTCCATTGGTGCTTTATCGAGGCTCCGGAAGCATTTTCTGAGCAATTGCTCTTCTCTAGAGCATCTGCCTGGTTCTACTGCTCAGCTTGCCTGCTTGAATGAACTAGGTGTTGCAGGCACATCTATTTGATCCCTGCCTCCTAGATTAACAGATCTGACTAGGCTGAAGAGTTTGTCTTTGTAGAAGTTGTTGGAAACAAAGAATTGGAGAAGTAACTCTTTTCTGTAGTATCGAGACTCAAGTGATACTGTGGAGTGGTCAACAACGAGTACGGCAAGTCAACGGAGGTTACACGTGGCAGTTGCGCATGTAATGAAAGCGCGTGGCAGTTGCACCTGGAGGTTATGCATGAAGGTTGCGTGGCAGCTCAGTTGCACAGTAACCGCTACTGTAAGGCATCGAGTCGCTATACGCTCGGTAGCGCAACAACAGCTGTAGTAACTGTCTTGTATTATAGAATAACTATATATATTCCTGTGTGTTGTTTGTGTTAATCAATTCTTTTGTTCTCACATACCAGTGCAAGAGGTTCATTAAGTCTCACACCACGCTTCCACAAGTACAACATCTCTCTGGGGACTTAGTCTTTGCAAAGATCCTACGAACTTATCTCAGCCCAACATGGTATGAGAGCTAGTCGAAGACTAGGTTACCACTAAGTTCGTTACAAGCATTCTCAGTTCTTCTACACGTCTATCATTCAATCTCCACATAAATCCACTTCAGGATTACAAGATATGGCATCACAGAAGGAAGTAAGATCATCCACTGGATCTCCCGGCTCAACACCTACTATGCCCCCAGTCTCTGGCCTACAGGCTGAAGAGGCGCCTGCGCAAGAAACAACCCCGGGAGCACCAACTGAGTAAGCGGCCCCTCCGACCGGCTTCGACCCAAGCTTGATGGAGTGTTTCTTCTCCTTCATGTCGACATATGAGCAGCAACAACCATCAGCACCTGCGCAATCAGTCAACAGCAACAACAACGACAACAACAACAACAACAACAACAACAACAAAACAACAACAACAACAACAACAACAACAACAACAACAACAACAACAACAACAACAACAAACAACAACAACAACAACAACAACAACAACAACAACAACAACAACAACAACAACAACAACAACAACAACAACAACAACAACAACAACAACAACAACGTCAGAGGCATCGACATTGGAGTGGCTCCTATGAGCCTGGATGGCTCGTCCTTTGCGCACGGGAATCAGCAACCCATCTATGCACCTTATCAAGCTTTATGGGCATCCTTCACGTTCATGCCGAATCGCCTTCCAGCATCGATACCCGCACACAACACGACAGCGAACGATGCACTTCAGCTACAAGCTCAGTTTGCAAACTTCCTCAAGCTGCAAACATCATACCCGTTTAACGGCAAGGACTTCTGTACTTGGTCCTTCAATTTCGAGCTCATGATAGAAGGAGCTCAGATCTTGGGATTCTTCGATGGGAACCTGCCATTTCTAGTCAATGGTACTACAAGCGACCAGGAGCAGTACACGTATCAGTCACTGATGGCGTACACCATTCTCATGCGGAACCTGTCACCAACAGAATATCAGAACTTATAGTGGCTATGGAAACTCAGCGGAACTCGCGTACAACCACTTGAAGAGCATGTATCAAGCAAATGACAGCGTAAACCAGAGCCGCCTCATGGCTCAGTTGACAACCGTTCAGATGCAGCATGGCGAGAAAGCCATGGCGTATATGAGTCGGTGCCACAGTCTCCGCAATAAGCTCCTTCGCAGCGGCGGCAACATGTCAGAAGATACGTTTGTCACCATCGTCCTCAATGGTCTTGGTCCTCAGTGGCGAACGACCCGCTCTCTTCTTCGCGCTCACGGTCGCATCTCGGAGATGCATCTTTGTGCTGAACTTCTCGCTGAACAACAGGACATGGACCTATATGAAGAGCGGCACAAGAAAAAGGCCGTACTCGAGATTGCGTTCTATGCGCATCGTCGACAAGGACCACAAGCAAGATACTATATACTGTCGTTTTGTCACCTTTGCCGCACGTCAGGACACATACGTGTTAATTGCCCTCGTCAAAATCAACACCAGCAGCAGATCCCACCGCGCCAGCTTCGCCCTTCAGGAAATCAAGTCACTTCACCCCAAGTGCACCCGCCGCCCTCCGCACCGCGACCTGTACAAGAGACAAGGAACATCGTCAGCTACATGGCAAGAACCGACTCTTGCGTCACAAAATCCCCACCGACTTACGACCCAGACAAAGTAGTCGTGCCGCCTCGACGAGAGCAGCTGAAGCCGAACCCGACATACGTCGTCATCGCTCAAAGCGAGCCGTCCGGTCGAGATACGTGGTTCTTGGACAGTTGCTGTGGGCAGCACATGTGCTCTTCAGATCGCTTCATTCAAAGTGAGCGACAACTCAGCCATGAAGTCGTCATCACTGTCGCCAACAATCAGCACCTGCGCACACAAAGGCAAGGAGTTGTTCAGCTACAATCCCTAGAAACTAACGTGGTGCTACAAATGTCGAAAGTACTAATCGCGGAAGGCTTGGGCTACAACTTGCTGAGCGTCAGTCAACTGATGGCGAAGGGGATTCATTTGGAGTGCGACTGCACTACCCAAGAGTTCATGTTGTACCACGGGAAGGGCGACCGAATCCAGAAGCGGGAGACGAAGCAGTCTATCCCGAGGATCACCTCTTGCCCAAATTCACACCCAACGGACCTCAGATTCTCGGCCTCGTCACCGCAGTCCACGGAGCTTCGATGCCACCTCCACTCGAGCGTACGACCGTCAAGCAAGCTCTAGGGGGGGAGCACAGAGAGAAATGGTGCGAAGCAATGGAAAGGGAGCTGAAGGCGCTTCACGAGCGCAACACCTGGCAAATGGTCCCTGTCGCAAAGGCACACGACAAAACAATCCTCTCAGGAAAATAGGTCTTCAAAGTGAAGACCAAAGCAGATGGCACGATCGAGCACTTCAAGGCCCGTTTGGTCGTTTGGGGCTTTGACCAGCAGTACGGGCGTGACTTCACAGAAACCTTTGCGCCCGTCAGTCGACACACGTCCCTGCGAATCTTGCTCGTAGTCGCCGCCATGCATCGCCTGCCGCTACGCCAGATCGATGTGGCAAATGCGTTCATGTACGTGCCCGTCGACGCAGAGATCTTCGTAGAGCAGCCACACGGGTTTGTCGAAGACCCCACGCTTGTCTGCCAGCTTGTGAAATCCCATTTCGGGATTAAGTAGGCCCCACGGCTCTGGCAGTAGTATCTTCACTTGTGGCTCATCTGTATCGGGTTCTTACAACTGCCGTACGACCAGGGTATGTACCGGCTCACACGAGAGCCGCCTACGTACTGCTGATCGTCTACGTAGACAACCTGCTATATGTAGGCTCGACCGATGCCGTCACCGCCTGGTTTGAAGGGGAGCTACAGCAGGACCTCACGCCCACAGTCTCCCTTTCAGTGAGCCAGTACCTCAGCTTGAACGTGCTGGACGCAGACGAGGCGATCTTTCTGAGCGCCTCAATGTATGCTGACGTCATCGCTAAGAGGTTCGACCTCACCCCGGCTACGATCTCCACCCCGTACCGCTACACCACGCCGAGTCACACGACGGACTCAACTGTACTCGCGCCCGCCGGACTACATGACTACCAGCATAATTTGGGCTGTCTCCTCTTCGCCGCTGTAACATGTCGACCGGACCTATCCTACTCGGCAGCCAACTCGCCACCTATCTCAAATGGCCCAAGGCAGAGCACGCCGAACTTAATCGCGCGCTCCACTATTTCGTCTTGACGTCAACGATCGGCCTAACTTATCATAAGACAAAGAACGCATCGCCTAAGCTAATCGGCTATGTCGATGCTGATCACGTCGGCGACCCGACAACAGGCGATCGCGAACCGGTTACGTCTACCGCCTAGAGCCCATCGGGCCTATCTCATGGCAATCGAGCAAGTAGGAGCTATTTGCGCACTCCCCTACTGAAGCAGAGTATATAGCTCTATGCATAGCCACCAAGAAAGGACTGTACCTTCGTGAGCTGATGGAAGAGGCCAAGCTCACCGCGTTACCTAGTTTCTCCTTTTGTAACAACCAATCTGCAATTCGAGTTGCGAACACGAATGGTTTCGCCAATCGCACGAAGCACATCGCGCTGCGCTACTTCTTCGTGAAAGACAAAATCGAGAAGGGGAGACTCGAGTTGTCTTACTGCCCCACGTTTTAGATGGCAGCAGATTACTTGACCAAAAAGCTTGGGATGTCGAATTTTGACTACTGCATACTGCTAACAGGGCAGCGCCACGTCACTCGTCCCGACCACGTCGACACTCCATAAATGAAGGGGAGTGTTGGAAACAAAGAATTGGAAAAGTAACCCATTTCTGTCTTATTGATACTTAAGCGATAATGGAGTGGTCAACAACAAGTACGGCGAGTCAACGGAGGTTACACGCGACAGTTGCGCGTGTAATGAAAGCGCGTGACAGTTGCACATGGAGGTTTTGCGTGGAGGTTGCGTAGCAGCTCAGTTGCACAGTAACCGCTACTGTAAGGCATCGAGTCGCTATACGCTCGGTAGCGCAACAGCAGCTGTAGTAACTGTCCTGTATTCTAGAATAACTATATATATTCCAGTATGTTGTTTGTGTTAATCAATTCTCTTGTTCTTAGATACCATTGCAAGAGGTTCATTAAGTCTCACACCACGCTTCCACAAGTACAACATCTCTCTGAGGACTTAGTCTTTGCAAAGATCATACTATCAAACCTAGAATTGAATAATGTGAGAGAGAGAGTACACAAACATATACCTAAATGTTGTACTCTCTAGAAGGTGACCCTATACAGTCTATACAAACATGATAACTACACATGTTTGACACACCCCCTGGACTGCATAGGGGAATGTTCTAGACAAGTAGCTCAGGGTGGCACTACTAGTCCAGCCTCTGAGACAAGGGTCTAAAAGACCAGTCAGAAGGAGTACAGACAAGGCAAGAACGAGTACAGGGCGGCACTACTAGTCCAACCACTGTGAGAGGACACAAGTCCAGTCTGAGTGTATACATATATATATATACGACAGTACAAAGTCAAGGCCCGAGTAAGTGAGAGACTACAGGAACCAGACCAAGCTGTAAACAGTGCCGCTGATGATCTTTAGGCGCAAGCGCCTTCGTAAAGATATCAGCTGTGTTGGCACCGGAGGCCAAGTGTACTACGCGAGCCTGGCGCCGCTGCTGTAGCTCGCGCAGGAGGAAGTACCGCAGCTGGATGTGCTTCGCTCTGCCCTCGAGTCGAGGCTCCTGACACAGGAGAATCATGGCCCTATTGTCAGCGTACAGGACCGGGGCAGAGCTAGGCCGCTCACCTAAGTCAGTGAGCAAGAAGGTCAGCCAGCGGAGCTCCTGTGCCGCCATGGCACCGGCGTAGATCTCAGCCTCACAGCTGGACTGGGCAACCGACGAGGAGCGGGTAGCTCTCCACGAGACAGCACCTGAGCCAAGGCTAAAGCAGTAGCCCTGGGAAGACCTGAGCGTCTCGGCGTCGTCTGCCCAAGAAGCGTCTGTGTGTCCAGTAAGGACCACTGGCCTGTGTCCTCCTAGCACTAACCCCATGCCCGATGTACTTGCAAGATAACGCAAAACCCTCTTAGCGGCAGACCAGTGCTGAGGTCGGTGTCTGCCTGTGGCCACAAAACGAGCCAGGATGCTGAGAGGGTATGCGAGATCTGGGCGAGTGCAAGTCATCAGGTACATGAGGCAACCCACTAGCTCAGCGTAAGGACCACTGGGATCTACCGACTCCTCAGGAACTGGAGCGGAGAGTCTGTGGTCCAGAGGAAGAGGGGTGGGCTGTGCGGAGGAGAACTGAAGGCCGAACCTCTGAAGGACCTGGCGCACCAAGTGTGACTGAGTCAGGGTGATGGTGCGGGCGGCTCTGTCCCTGGAGATCTGCAAGCCAAGGTAACGGCGCAGCTCTCCAAGGTCAGTGCAGGTGTGTCTCTTCAGCAGCTCTGCCTTCACGGAGGCCAGTGCGTCCCTGTCAGCTGTGGCAAAGACCAGGTCGTCTACGTAGACGAGGATGTAGAACGGAGTCGAGCCAGCACGAACGAAGAGCGAGGGGTCTGCAGAGGACGGAAAGAACTGCAGGTCAGCAAGAGTAGCACGCAGCGTGTCGTGCCACTCACGAGGCGCCTGGCGCAGGCCGTAGACTGGGCGCCGCAGAAGCCACTGGGTCCCAGGGGGGAAGGTGCCAGTAAAGCCCTGAGGACGACGCAGGTAGACCTGCTCGTGAAGGCTGCCCTGAAGAAAGGCAGTGGAGAAGTCGAGGGAGTGAAGCTCGTAGTCACGCTGAGCCGCTACGTGTAGCAGAACCCGAAGAGTAGTCATCTTCGGGGTAGGAGCGAAAGTCTGAAAGAAGTCCACCCCCTCGCGCTGACTGAAGCCTCTAGCCACGTAACGCGCCTTGAACACAGGCGGCTCTCCAGGAGGGCGCTTCACCTTGAAGAGCCAACGGCCATCGACCACGTTCACCCCAGGTGGGGGAACTGCGTCGACGAAGGTGCCGGTGGATCTCCAAGATGCCATCTCCTGCTCCATGGCAGCTATCCACTGAGAGGCCCAAGGTCCCGAAACCGCCTCAGCGTAAGTACGAGGGGTCGGGATGTCAAAAGCGTCTGGGTCACCCTCAGGGACTAGCAGCATGGAACAGAGATGGGGAGCAGCCTCGGACAGGAAAACAAGCTCAAACTGGCGGTCCTCCAGGACGTCACTGCCGAGGGCAGGAGCACCCCCGACAGACGGAGGACAGGCAGGGTCAGAGACCAGAGCGGAGGCGTAGTCAAGGCGGCGGGTAGAGGCGAAGTCAGCGACCGCAGCGACAAGGGCGTCAAGACTCGACACTGGAACAGACGGGTCGGTAACGAGAGAGGCAAGGACCCGAGGAACAAGAGGACGAGCGGCACGAAAGTAGTCAGACAGAGGAGGAGACGCAACGACAAGAGAGGACGGAGGAGGAGACGGGAGGAGGGGAGGACGAGACGCGTGGGAGCGGAGCAACATAGGGTGAGTGCGCGGGACGGGGGAGACAGGACGAGCACGGGAGGGGCGGCGAGACCAGACGTGAGAGGGCGGCGCCGGGTCGGGAGACAGAGGAGGGGACACGGGTGGGGAACGAGGGGGAAAACGAGCCGGGGACGAGTCCGGCGGAGGGAACACGGGGCCGTAGACGGGAAGAGGGGGAGACGGCCGGAGAGGAACAGGCGCAGGGTCAGGGGACGGAAGGCCGAGCAGACGGAGGGCGGACACCGGCGGGGACTGCTGCTGCGGCGACACAACACCAACGCCAGGGCCACAAGCTGCGCGACGGCTACCTCCCGAACCCTCCACACCGGCACCCCCAGAAGGGACACCCCCAGAGCCCGAAACACCGCCAGCACCGGTACCACCCCAGGCCCGCGGGGACAAGCCACGACAGGAGCCCCGGGACGAGTACCCACCTCAACTCCAGCACCCCCAGAGTCCACAAACAGCGGCAGCGACGACGGCGGCGGCGGCGGCGGCGGCTGCAGCGACGGCCTCGACGGCGGCGGCGGCGGAGACGACGGCTGCAGCAGCTGCGGCGACGGCGGCTGCGGAGGCGGTGGAGGAGGAGACACCGGGGGAGGGACAGACGGCGAGGACTGCGCCAAAGGACTACCAGAGTCAGAAGACTCGTCGACCGGAACGACCGACGGGAGGGGGGTGACGTGAGACACACCAGAGGGGGCCGGACGGGGGGGCGGGGGGGGGGAGGGGCAGGGGCCACCAGGGAGGGAGGAACCAGGAACAGGGGGGGAGTAACCGGGGGACCACGGTGGGGAAAGCGGCGGAAGAAGGAGACGGACTCGTCAAAGGTGACGTCGCGAGAGTGAAAGAAACGGTGAGACGGCGGGTGGTAGAAGTGCCAGTCGGACGCGTCAAGGGGGAAACCGAGGAAGACGCAGGGGAGGGTGCGGGCAGTGAGCTTGTCCGTGCCAGAGGCACGAACGTGAGCAAGGCAGCCCCAGACGTGGAACGCAGACGCGTCACCAGGGGACCCGGTCCACAGAAGGGTCGGCGAAACCTGCGGCCGCTGGGGGTGCGGCCACAGGTTAAGCTGGTGAGCGGCGTAGCGCACGGCGAACGGCCACAGAAAATGGGGTGCACCGGCGTGGATCATGGAGGTGCGAGCCACCTCCATGACCAAACCGATGC